GTAATCAAAACAGCTTGGTGTTGGAACAAAAACAGACATATGGATCAATGGAACAGAATAGGGAGCCCAGAAATAAACCCACAAATTTTTGATCAATTAATCTTTGACAAAGGAGGCAAGAATGTACAATGAAGTAAAGACAGTCTCTTCAGCAAACGGTGTTGGGAAAACTGGACAGCTGCATGTAAATCAGTGAACTTAGACTACTCCCTCACATCATACACAAAAATAAACTCAAAATGGCTTAAAGACTTAAACTTAAGACATTATAAACCTCTTAGAAGAAAACATAGGCAAAACCTTATCCGACATAAATCTCGCAAAGTTCTCATAGGGCAGTCTATGCAGGCAATACAAATAAAAACAAAAATAAACAAATGGGACCTAATTAAACTTACAAGTTTTTGTACAGCAAAGGAAAACAAAAAGACAACCTATGGAATGGGAGAAAATACTTGTAAAAGATGAGACTGACTGTTGTATTAGTTCTTTACATATTTTAGATATTAAGCCCTTGTCAAATGTATGATTTGCAAATATCTTCTCCTATTCAGTAGGCTGGCTTTTCACTTTGACTATGGTTTCCTTTGCTGTCCAAAAGGTTTTTTTTTTTATTCTTTCTTTTTTTAATCGAAATACAGTTGATTTACAATATTGTGTTAGTTTCAGGAATACAGCAAAGTGATTTGGTTATTCTTTTCCATTATAGTTTATTATAAGAAACTTTTTAGTTTGATGTAGTCCCATTTGTTTATTTTTGCTTTTGTTTTCCTTGCCTTTGGAGTCAGGTCGATAAATATATAGCTAAGATTGATGTCCAGGAGTTAACCACTCTGTTTTCTTCTGGAAATGTTATGATTTCAGGTCTTACATACAATCCTTTAATCCATTTTGAGTTAATTTTTGTGCATAGTGTAAGACTGTGATCTAATTTCATTCTTTTGTATGAGACTATCCAGTTTTCCCAACACCATTTATTGAAGAGACTGTACTTTCTCCACTGTATGTTCTTGGTTCTTTTGTTGTTAATTAATTGTTTATATTATACATGGGTTTATTTCTGGGCTCTTAATTCTGTTTCATTGATCTGTGTGTCTGTTTTTTGTGCCAATACCATACTGTTTTGATTATTACAGCTTTCAACTGAATTTTGATAAAGGTGCAAATGCAATTCAATGGAGAAAAGCTGGCTTTTCAACAAATGGTTCTACAGTAATCCACCCATAGGCAAAAACAAAACAAAACAAAACAAAATCTCCATCTAAATCTAACACCTTATATGAAAATTAACTCAAAATGGACCATGTCTTAAATGTAAAACATAAAACTCTCAGGAAAAAAATCATAGATCTTCTCGACCTAGGGCTAGGATTCCTAAGTTTTACACCAAAAGCACAATCCATAAAAGGAAAATAAATTATAAACTGGCTTTCATCAAAATTAAATACTTTTCCTCTGTGAAAGACCCTGCTGAAAAGATGAAAAAACAAGCTACAGAATGGGAGAAAATATTTGCAAACCACATATCTGACAAAGGACTAGTATCTAGAATATATAAAGAACTCTCAAAACTCAATAGATAAACAATCTAATTAGAAAATGGGCAAAACACACTAAAAGCCATTTCACTAGAGAGAACATAAGATGAGAAATAAGCATGAGAAGGGATGTTCAACATCACTAGCCATAAGGGAAATGCAAACTAAAACAACAATGAGATATCCCTACAATCTATCAAATGGCTAAAATAAAAATGTGCTGCACTAAATGCAGATAAGGATTTGGAGAAACTGGATCACTCATATACTGCTGACTGGAATGTAAAATGGTACAGCTGCTCTGGAAAACAATTAGTAGTTTCTTAAACAACCAAACATGCAACAAACACATTGCCCAGCAATTGCGCTCCTAGGCACTTATACTAGAGAAATAAAGACTTGTGTTAACATAAAAGCTGTACAGAAGTGTGTACAGGTTTATTTATAACAGCCCCGAACTGGAAACAACCCAGATGTCCTTTAAGGGGTGAATGGTTAAACCGTGGTACCTCCACACCATGGAATCCTACTCAGAAATAAAAGGAATAAACACATAACAACCTGGATGAATCTCAAGAGAATCATGCTGATGGATGAAAAAATAATCTATGCAAAATGTTACATATTGTATGATTCCATTTATATAACATCCTTGAAATAACAAAATTACAGAAATGGAATCCCCTTATCAGGGAGGGACTAAGGTAGGAGAAGGGCAACATGAGGGATCCTTGTGGCAATAGAAATATTTTGTATATTGATTATATCAATGCCAGTATCCTTGCTGTGATATACTATCATCTTACAATATGTTCAGTGAATTTTAGTATATTTACAAAGTTGTACACTATCACCATAAACGAATTTTAGAGCATTTCCATCAGCTGAAACAGGAATCTTACGCTACACTCACTCCTCATTTCCACTCAGCCCACTAATCTACTTCCTGTCTCTACAGATTTGCCTTTTCTGAACCCATCATAAATATGGTATCATACTATACATGTTTTGCGTCTAGCTTCTTCCACTGAGCATGTTTTCAAGGTTCATCATGGCTGTTGAGTATTCTGTTGTATGGATATACCACATTTTGTTTATCCACTTTTTTGGGGGGCGGTTCATCCAGTTGATGAACTTTGTGGTTGTTTCTACTTTTTAGTTATTGTGAATAGTACTGCTATAAACATTCACATACAAGTCTGTGTGGACAAATGTTCTCATTTCTCCTGGATAGATACCCAGGACTGAAACTGCTAGATCATATAACAAGTCCATGGTTACCTTTTTAAGAAACTGCCAGACTGTTTTCCAAAGTGGCTGCATCATTTTACATTCCCACCAGCAATGCATGAGGGTTTCAATTCCTCCACATCCTCACCAACACTGACTATTGTCTGTTTTTTATTCTAGTGGGTAAGAAATGGTACCTTGTTATGGTTTTGATTTGCATTGACTAATGATGTTGAGTGTCTTTTCATGTATTATTGGGCAATTGTATATCTTCTTGGGAAAAACAGTTATTCAAATCCTTTGCCCATTAAAAAAAAAAGACTTTTTTTAGAGCAGTTTTAGGTTCATAGCAAAATTGAGTGGAAAGTACAAAAAGTTTCCATATAGCCCCTTGCCCTGCTGCCTTTCAGCCTCCTCCTCCAGAGAGGTACATTTGTTACAGTGGAAAAACCTATACTGACGTATCACTGCCATCCCAAGTTCACTGTTCACCTTAGGGTTCACTCTGTGGGTTCGGACAAATGTATAATGACATGTATCCACCATTATAGTATCATACAGAATGGCTTCAAGGCCTTAAAAACCATGTGTGCTGCAACTGTTCCTCCTTCCCTCCACCCTAGTTTCTGACAACCAATGATCTTTTTTATTGTCTTCATAGTTTTGCCTTTTTCCAGGGTATCATATAGCTAGAATCATACACTATGGAGCCTTTTCAGACTGGCTTCTTTCACTTAGAAATATCCCTTAGAGTTTCCTCCACGTCTTTTCATGCCTCATTTCTTTCTAATGCTCAAGAATATTCCATTGTCTGATTGTGCCACAGTTTATTCATTCACCTCCTGAAGGGCTTCTTGGTGGCTTCCAAGTTTAGGGAATTATAAATAAAGCTGCTATAAACATGTGTGCAGGTTTTTGTGTGGACATAAGTTTTCAACTTATTTGGGTAAATACCAAGGATTGTGATTACTGGATTCTATGGTACAAGTATGCTAGTTTTGTAAGAAACTGCCAAACTGTCTTCCAAACTAGGTGTATGATTTTATATTCTCACCAGCAATGAGAGGTCTTGCTGCTCCACATCCTCATCAGCATTTGGTGTTGTCACTTTTGCATATTTTTAATAGGGCTATTTGTTTTTTATTATTGAGTTATAAGAGTCTTATATATTCTAGATACAAGTTCCTTATGAAACACGATTTGCAAATATTTTTTCCCAGTTTGTGAGTTGTCTTAGAGACTTTTTTTTTCAATGAATAAGAATATTAAACACTAAATTCATGATAGCGGTGACTCCTAGAGGAGGCAGGAGCACAGACCAGGTTAGAAATATGCAGGTAGCTATCAGAGGTAGAGCACAAACTCTTGGAGCCAGCTGAGTCTCAACCCAATATTGTCAAGTAACTTAGTCTCTGCGTCTCAGTTTTCTCATCTCTAAAAGGGGTATAACAGAGCTCATCTCATGTGTCATGAGGCTTACACAAGTTAATGCGCCTGAAGAATGTAAAACACTGGTAACCAGCAGCATGTTAACCAATGACATAAACCTTAACTGTATTACAACTACTTGAGGTGGGTACTGAAGTTCAAAAGTTTCCATTCTATTATGCTTTATAACTACGTATCTTACACGCTTTCTTTTAATGCATAACTCATTTAAATGTACAAATACATTAAAAATAATACAGGAAAAAATTCAATTTTTTACCCTTTAAAATGGGAAAGACTGGGCTAGATGCAGGTCCATCTCCCATGCTGGCTGGGGTCCCTAAGCCCTGATCCCTGCTCTTTCCCCAACACTCACAAGGTGCCTGTCAACTGCACTTCCAGAAAAGACCAGTGGACTCCAGGCAGGAGTCAGAGGAGAAACCTAACATAGCAAGTGACCTAGACTGCACCACCTCAGTTTCCCCACCTGTAAAATGGGGGCACTAACTGTAGCCACCTGATCTAGGAGATTAACGACGACTAATCAGAATATCTATGCCCGGCCTAACATGTTGTTAGCTGTTATATTTCCCTTTACCCTTCCAGGCTCCCCTTGATGTTCTGAGAGAACCTCAGTAGGAAAATGTCAGGAGAGAGACCCAGAATATACGACCTAAGGTTCCTCCCAGCACCACAATTCTGTGCTGTTTTTTCATAGTCTGGCATAAAAACGTCCTTGTCTAAAATGAGCTGGTGATATAACCTACCTCCCTCGGCTGTGTTAGAAGCGTCGAGAAGCCAAAGGCCAGGAAAGCGCTTTCACATCTAGACCGCACTTCAAAGAGTTAGTTAATGGAGAAAAAGAAAAAAGTTGTTGCAGAAAAGCCGCAGAGCTGCCAGGCCAGCGCCATGGCAGCCCAGGCGCCATTATCTGCGTCAGCGGCCCCTCGGGGCCCACGATGAGCGCCCAAAGAAGCCGACAGAGAACCACGACCCGCGCGCCAAAGGCGCTACCACACGGGCGCCCGGGGCAGTTCTCCCGCTGGGCGCTCGGGAGGCGGGGCAGCAGCCTGGCGGCTCCTCGCTACGCAGCGGCCAGCCTGTGCCCGAGCGCCCCCTGGCGGCGCAGTATTACGACGGTTAGCACATCCAACGGCCAGGCTCACGATTCCGCACAGGAACGTGCGCAGCCTCCACCTGCCGCTCTCCCACCCAGAGAAAAAGGCTTCCCAGCCAATCAGAGAGCCTCACAGCAGATTTCCCGCCCACCAGTGGAATTTAGGGGCGTGGCGTTCAATTTTAGCCAATGAGGGGAAAAAAATCGTCCCTCAGCGGCACTTGAAGGTTGAAAAGGGGTGGAGTTGGGGAGCGGTTTCTTTGGCAAGATGGCGGCGAGTGGCCTCAGCCGGGCTGCTGCTGCGGCCAGCACCTCGGTGAAGCCCATTTTCAGTCGGGACATGAATGAGGCCAAGCGGAGGGTGCGCGAGCTCTACCGCGCCTGGTATCGGGAGGTACCGAACACTGGTGAGAGGCAGCGGCGCACGCGGGGCCCCGGAGGCAGCCGCCCAAGGTCGCAGCCGTCCCGGCCTCCCATTTCTGCCGGGCCGAGCTGAGGTCACCAACTTGGGCAGCGGTGACTCCGAGGGCTTCGGGGGAAGAGGGTCAGGGAGGAGGGTCACACGAGCCTTGGTGGACCTGACCTGGCGGCGGCGTCGGCATCAGACCAGTCGTGCTCTGCGTCTGAACTGCCTTTCTTGGCGTCCTCGCTCTTTTGTCCCCCATAATTCTTACCGAACCCCTGGGAGAGAGAGTAGGGACTGTCAACGACATACTCATTTTATAAGTGAGGCAATTGAGGCACCTGGAAGCGAAGTGATGTGCCCAGCGCCAATCCGTGGTGGATCTGGAACCCAAAGCCCACTCTAGAGTTCCTGAACGCATTTACAGACGCCCATTAGGTTGTGTAAATAAAAGGGCTGTAGAATTTGAGCGATCATCTGGTTCTCACGTACCCCACAGGGAAACAGAACCAGAGAAGGGAAGCAACTTTCCCAAGGTCATCTAGTAAGTCAGTTGTACCTTTTCCAGGCCCTCCAGGTGAGGTGACTTCCGCTTCTGTCTCCCCAAGTCTTGCTTCCCAACTCTGCTGGGCCCTAGTATTCCTTAGGAACCCCTTCCCCTGCCCTCTACTACCCCAGAACCTCTGCCTCCACTCAGATGTCAGAGAACCAATCTGTTCACCTGAAGGATTAAACTATAAGCTCCCTGGGTTCAGAGACTGTTTTCTTTTGGCATCTTCTTCAGCGCTGCCCAGTGAACCTGATGAAAGAAAAGTTGGGGAAAATCCCATCTAAACTGTCAAGGGCAGTACAAGTGTCAGGGACTGTTGACATTTCGTTATTTTGTTGATTTGATTCAGTGGGTTTTAATATGGACTATCACTAGTAGTCAGAGGGGAGGTGTTTCAAATCATTATGAACTATGACCTTGCTTTGAGTACAGTCTCCTGACGACTGGAACACCATTCAGCTGCCACTTCCTTGCCTGTGTGTGAGAAGCTGTAGAATGTGGTTACATGGCCTTGCCTCCAGGCCCTGCCCCTTACTAACTATGTGACTGTGAGCAAGTTATTTCATCTCACTATGCCTCAGTTTTTTCATTTGTAAAATGAAGTTAGTAAGAGTACCTTCAGTAAAGACTTGCTCTATTAAATAGGTTAATATATCTAAAGTGCTTAGGATAGCACCTTGTTCTTAATTAGGCACTCATTAAATGTTGACTGCTCCTGTTGTCTTATTACTGCTGTTATTTATAGGACTTACTCTCCCTGCAGAACCTAGTTCTTTGTCTTATGGGAGCTGTATCTGCTGCACAGTGTCCCTGTCCTCAAGCTGACTTTTTAAGAGATTGCTGACGACCAGAACTTAAACCCACAGGATACTATGGAGGGAGAAACCTGAGTGATCTGCTAGCAAATTCAAAATGCCTTCAGGGGATAGGTGGATACTAGGCATAGGGGAATGACAGTAGTTAGTGTGTTTGGTGGGGGAGGCAGTGTATTCAAATGCAAATATTTAAAAACAGGTTTGCCTGGCAGAATACTTTGAGTGCCCAGAATGCTTTCTGCAGCGCAGAGGGAGAAGCGGGGAGGGTCAAGGGGGTGCTGCACCCTAAGGGAGGATCAGTGATCTGATCTGTAGCTGGTCATTTGCTCAGGCTTATGTGTACACTGGTGTCATGACATTCATCATTGGGAATTCCAGCTGAGGAGCCAAACTGAGGATTGGAATGAAGTACTGATAATAACATTTATTGAAATGTATACATACGGCCCCCACATGCTAAGTACTTTACAGTGCCTCATTTTAGGGTGGGCTGTCATTGTTTCCCTGTCTTACAGATGAGAAAACTGAGGCACATAAACTTGTCTCACATCACACCATTAGTAAGTAAAAGAGCCAGACCCTGACTGTCCACCTGTTACACCTGGCTCTTAGCTCCCGCTCTAGTTTTCCCTGAATGTCAACGGGACCCAGCCATGCTGCACGTGTGCAGCAGAGTGCCATTGCCTGAGTGGTTGCTGCCTTGGCATGGGACACAGGACAAGACGGCCTGTCACTCCCTCCTTTGGAAAAATATTACATGCTGCTTGCTGGTCACAGCATCACAGGAGACTTCCTGATGAAACTATTCGTTCATTTAATTTCCATTTCGTTGGGCACCTCTTGTACTACAGGGTAGGTACTAGATGCCTAGAGAGATATGAAAGTGAGTAGAACATAACCCTTCCTTCAGGAGTCTTATGGTCTAGTTAGGAAGACAGGCATATAACCAGACCATTAAAACCCAAAATAGAATAGAGGTAAGGGAAATGAGTGCTGACATTTTTAACAGTTAACATTTGTATCAATACTTACTGTTTATAAATGTCACTTGATTTTCACCACATTCCTGTAAAGGAATTAGGTCAGAGGTTATTTCCTATGTTTTAGATGAGGAAACAGGCTGGGGAAGCTGTACCCTAAGCAAGGTCATAGTTCATAATGATGGAAGACCTTACCCAGCTTGTTTGACCCCAGATTCCACACTCTTTTCCATTACACTATGCTGCCTTCCTGTTTAAGGATTGCCCAGTGTTTGGTATGGATGCTACCAAAATGAGTTGGAGCAAACAGCAGAGAACCATATCAACGTAGTCCTTCCTAATCTGTCAGAGCCTTCCTGACTCAGAAAAGCCTTAACAATAACTTGGGGAAAACATCCAGAGACTAGGGAAAAGTCACCTTCATCCAAAAGGGGCGCTTCCATATCTTCCTTTTGAGACTCAGATTTTTTTCAAATTGAAAATAAAATACGCAGGATTCAAAGACTTAGCCAGGACTCTGTGAATTAAGAAAGAACAGTTGTAACTGATAGACACCGGGGTTTCTCCAGTCCTGTGCATTGTCGGATGCTTGGCAACATCCCTGGCCTCCACCCAAGAGATGCCAGTAGTACTCTCCCCGCTAATTGTGACAATTAAAAATGCCTCCAGATATTGCCACGGGTTCTGGTGGGCACAATCACCGCTGGTTTGACAACCACCAGAGAACAGCTCAGCAGGTTGTAGCTAAGGCTGTTCCTGTTTGCTTCCTGCTACAGGCTTTCTCACTGGTGGAGGGATGTAGTGGGGGCCTTGTGACGGAAGGAGGGTGACCAGGACAAAGCTATGGAATTTGTCTGTAGAGACAAGGGTTCTTAACCTTGGAGGGTGGGTACTCAGGGATCCGTGAACTGACAGTTGCAAGCAAAACTTTGCATTTGTGCCTGTGAACATTTTCCGGAGAAGGTTCATAAACTCAGTGTTCTGGTGTGTGGTTCATGAGGAATGGGAGGGGTGGACACCAGCTCCCCTAGTGTGCTTAGAGGCACCTTGTTTTTTTTCTCCCAAGGTTGGGCAGGAATCTAAAATGAAAATGCGGGAAAAGTAAGCATTGGCAGCAGGGGCAGATTCCTCATACTCTTTTCCTTGAAAGAGCACAAGATTGTAAATTCAAAACACAGTAAACACCCTGGATTCTAGGCTCATGTTTGCCGAGGACCAGTAGTCTACTTGTGGCAAGTCCCCACAGTGCTCTAGTGGTAAGGTTTCTAAATTCCAGGATCCATGTTAGTTTGCATTTACTGTTGTGTCTCTTTGTCTTCTTATTGTCCTTTTGTTTGCTCTTTTCTAAAATTCCTCATGTGACACTGACTGTGGTGTTTAACAGCTAAGTGACTGTTTTCAGTGGTGTAAATACTCCCGTCATGGTTGATTTTAAGCTATAAAAGTGAAGTCGGTGAAGGTAGATTTGGGAAGAGATGTGTATAATTTGCTCACCATGGCTGCCTGCTCCAGCACATCACTGGATACTGAGTTCTTTCTCGTGTGAGTGATCCTCTGTCCTGTCTGTTAACACTTACCTTTCAAGATGGGATGCAGTTTCTCCTTTTAGGTTTCTGCTATTGCTTGTTCTTTGGTTGGATCAGTCTGGCTTGGTCCTTCAGCAGCAGCTTTATTTTTCTTTTGCTGCCATGAAGTTATGAGTATAATTAAAGATTCAAACTTTACTGTTGATTGTCACTAAATAGCCCTTGTGGTTTTCAGAGCAGGTTGTGATAGTTTTGTAGACAAGAGCGGACATGTCATAGGAATGGCCACACCACAAGATAAACCAGTGACCTTGCTCATGCTGTCTGCTGAGCCTGGTGTGCCCCTCTCCTCTATCCTTATTCCACCTGCCACACAAAGCCCTCTTCATGTCCTTGTTGTCATCAGCAAATCCACTGAAGGCTCACTGCCAGAGGATGAAACTACAAATGACTAAAACCTAATTTTCAAAGGACATTTATATGCCTTATCTGAAGTCACAGGTCACTGAGTCTGTGCCACTATGTTAGCATTTACTGAATCAGGGTTTGCTAAATTGTGTGATTTTATATTTACATTCATGGATGGTTGTCCCTCCAATTAGAATTTAAAACCTTGAGAGAAGGAGCTACATCTTAAACTTTTCTCTCCTTCCCCCAAGTAACCTGATATGGTGGTAGCTGCTTGCTGGGTCAACACCCTTCCCTCCCTGCACACTCAGCAGTCTCCCTCAGCTCTTGAGCTTGTGTGGTGCACAA